TGGGAAATTAGTTTATGAACCAGCATGTTTATGAACCAGCATGTTAATTTGAAAACTCCAAATTTTTAATATCATTCTATGCCTGATTGTTTGTTCTATGAGAGCCACCCCAAGGCTTCGGCGATGGGCGTGGCATAGAAATGTTATAAATAAATAAATAAATAAATAAATAAATAAATAAATGCTCAGAGTTCATTATCCAATTTACTTAGAAAACCCCATTTAATGTTCTTTTTTTTAAAAAAATAATAGGCTGGCCAGCAAATGGCAAGGCGTTTGAATTTTCCTTGCTTCTATGTTATGAGCAACCTGCAAGGTACTGAAAATAATTACATCATTCTTGTAAGCCATAGCAAATTCTTGACAAAGACCCAATGCATGGCTCATTAGCTGCTCATATATACAGTTCAGTAGTTGCTGAAATGTGACTACAGTGCTGTTCCACCCAAAAAGTATAGTCGCAAAATAGAATGGCCTGAGCTGAGTGGAAAACGGTTTTCTTGCAGTCTTACAAATATAGAGGCACCACATAGTATCTCCTCATAAGGATAGACACTGGATCTCACCACCTTCACCTAACCTTCTACCAACAAATATATGTGCACCACTGGCCAAACACAAAATCTGAAAATTTCATAGAACTCCAGGAAGTAAATGCAAAATCAAGATCCACTGGGTTTTGCCACAAAGAAAAGACAAAGGAATTTCACCATTCTGCAAGGGTTCGATCACTGTGTGGTGACCTGATGCCCATGGGCACCCAACTGTGAATGTAAGGCCTGATGACCAGAGGCATCCGGTACTTGCTGCCACCACCAACAGTAAAACAAACTCAGTCCTCTCATCCTTTAGCAATTACAGTGGTACCTCGGCTCACGAACACCTTGGTTCACAAACAAATTGGGTCATGAACAAAAATTTCATTAAAATTTTGACGTGGTCGCGAACTCCTCATTGGGTGGCGACCAGGATTGCAGCCATCTCCCGCCCCCGCAAGTGGGGAGATGGCCACGATCACAGTTCCGTTCATGCAGGGAAGGCATATGTGATTAGAGGCGCATTCCTGCAGGAAAGACGGACACAATCTCGGGCATCTCCTCCACGGCTGTGCTGTGCCTGTCTTTCCTGCAGCAGCTCACCCGTGATCATGCACGTCTTCCCTGCACGAATGGAACTGCGATCGTGGCCATCTCCCCACTCGGGGGGGGGGGGAGGGAGATGGCCGCAATCACAGTTGCTTTCGTGCAGGGAAGGCATGCATGATCACGGGTGTGCTCCTGCAGGAAAGACGAGCGCAATCTCGGCCAGCCCACCCCCCAACCAGCACGATCGCGGCCATCTCCCCACCCCCATGTGGGGAGATGGCTGTGATCATGCTGGGGGCGAGGGGAGATGGCTGAGATCGTGCCCATCTCTCCTTCCCCCTGCACACCATTTGCACCCATCTCTTCCCCAGTGCACCCACGATCCTGCCCGTCTCTCCCCCCAACCCCCCAGCATGCTGGGATGACAGGTGCCTGCAGGGATGACAGGCGTGATCTTGGTTGTGCTGTGGGGGGGGGCGGGGGGGAGATGGCCACGATCTTTGTTGTCACTTTGCTTCACATTTTTCTTTTTTAAACAATGGTTGCAGAACGGATTAACCTTATATACATTGAACCTTATGAGGAAATTTAACTTAGCTCACGACCAATTTGGGTCACAACCAGAGTCCTGGAACAGATTAAGTTCATGAGTCAAGGTCCTACTGTATTAGCCAAGGATTCCACTGAGGTCTTTTGTGCCGGACTTCTTTGCAGCCTTTTGTATCCATAGCAAAGCCCAGCAGTTAAGGTTTTGCTCAGCATGTTGCATATACAGCCTTGGTGTCAAATCATCATTTGCATGACCTACAACATGGCATGCCCCTTGTGGTCTTCTCCTCTTTCACACCCAAAGTACATAGTCTGTGTATCACGAGCACACTCCACTAAGTGCCACTTCACTGCCACTAAGAATTTAATCCCAATCTTATCAGTCAAACTCTCAGTATTGTGTCCAACTTACAAGGCTCCTTCACTGGACTATGTGGTCCCGAGGATGAGACTCGGACCGAGGATGAGTATTCAAACAGCCTGTGACTCTTAAGTTAACAATAAACAAAATAAAACTTTATTTGTACAACAGGCATACTGAAACATAGAAACCTAAAACATAGAAACAGAGCGAGTCAGAAGGGGTCTCCCAGGCCATCTAGTCTGACCCCCCTCAGCCCCAGCTGGCTCCACTCATGACATGTCTACCATATGCATGTATTGGTTTCGAGATGCTCAATAACGTATTTCCTTAAGTAAATAAAACAGTCTATAGTAATAACTTTTGACTGGGGTATTTCACTCTTTCCCTCCACAGTTACGCTTACTCTCAAATCCTTCTTTTTCTTCTGAATGTTCCTTGACCAGTCTTTGTTCTATTTATCTCAATTCAATCTTTGCTTTATGCGTTCAGGATTCTGTCAGCTTCTATCTCTTACACCCTTACAATACTTGACAATATTAAGTTTTGAATGGAGATTTCTTCCTCTTGGACCTTGTTAAGATGAAATGTATAGGGTCTGGATGAGTGGATCACTGCAGGTTGGCCATAACACACTACCATACCATCTTAGTTTCCTGGTCTGTGTTCTCCCTTTGCTTGCATGGTAGAGCAAAAAAGCTCTTGCTTAGAGAAAGTCCAACCTAAAGCAGCTATTCAACAGCAACACTGTTATAGGAGCTACATCTGTCAGCTACATCATCAATGATTCATACACTTGCTTATCTTCCAATGTGATCCATGCTGTTAGCTACCAAAAATGCTCTTTTGCATTTTACATCATACAAAGAGGTCAAGCACTAATTGAAAACCTAAGAGAAAGTGATGGTAGTTCAGATGGATAGATACATGGAAATACGCATGTGTCAAATCAATTGTTGCAAACCTGTCCCCCATCTTGTAACTGTACATTTGATTCCTGTTTGCTAGGTGTAGAACTTGGAATTTGTCCCTATTAAATTATATTAGGTTGATTTCAGTCCCAGTGCTGCAGCCTATCAAGATCACTTTTAGTTTTGTTTCTGCCTTTCAGGGTTCTAGCTATCTCTTCCAGTTTTGTATCAACTGCAAATTTAATCAGCATTCCCTGCTCACCCACCATAACTTAGTGTGTTATCTAAACCTGCACGTGTTAAACCACAATCAATCTGAAAGGCTACAAAGCCCCTTAGCCAGAGTGGCAAGAAGACTTCGGGGCCCAGTGGGAGGCAGCCTGTGCCACTTTCCCACCATTCAGCTGAGCAGCAGGGAGAGGGGGACCAGTGCCCAGCAGATCTCCCTCTTCAGGTTCTCTATCCAATCTCACTCTCCTGGTATAGACCAAATGGTCTGTGTCCTGGTGTACATATGCCCAAAACAGAGAACAAGGGAAGGTTTTCTTTTAAAAGATTTATTCTCAAGAATAACTGGCTGCCAGTGAATCATTCCAGGTGGAACACCTGAGCAGGTGGCCCTTTTATACATTCATCATTAAAGGGTTACACATAGCACAACTAACAGTTTCTAATAGGTTACAGAAGTAAAAAGTTACAATGGTTGATATTTCCCGTCTGCATACCAAAGCAGAAAGATACTGGGGAGGAGGATGGGGTGGCTTGGTGTGAATTGCCCTTTGTTTGTGCTGCTGTTATCTGTCAAGAGTCAACTAGCCCTCCCTGGAATGGTGCCTGGTTAGGTTCAACTACATTTCAAGGATGCACACATGCTGATTTCTAGAAAACAGGATTTTTCTCTGGCCTAGCTATGTATTAATTATTGCATGATTGAACCAATGAAAGTTATACCTATTGAGCTGTACCTCACTGGCATCTGCAGGAACGTAGGTGAGCAAACAGATAACAGCTGCTTAGTTCCCATTTCAGCAACTCTTCTGCTCTTTCAGAGCTGCAGTGCTGGGTCCCCTAGAATACCAGCTTGAGTTTTAGGGGAGGAAAGAAGGGGAGGCAGTTCCTAATAGTCAAGTCCAGCTCTCCCCGTATAGCCAACTTGGGTTTACATCACCTTGCCAACTTTGGTTTCCACCTACTGGGAACCAAACCAGTTCCTGTCATCAGATGTCCTGAGTTTGTGTCTTGCTCATATCAAATAATAATGCTGGCGAGTTTAAATTGTTTGCATTTTCAGTTTATACACGGACACAATGCGTTCGAGTATTTCTAGTTCTGCTCCATAAAAATGGGACCCTTTTGGTTGTAGAAACAGTCCAGCTGAAGTAAAGGATTCTGAAATTCTGTTGAGGTGAGGTAAATCAGAGCAAAAGTGCAGAGTTAATTCTCCCCCACTCTCCTTTCCCTTAAAGTGCTTATTTACTGTGTGCTATTAATAGGCGTTGGCTGGTGCTCATAAATCGAAACCAGCTATATTCCCAAACACAGTTAAGGCGCTATCCGATGCACGATTAAGACAGAAAGAAGCCCAATTCTTAGCATCCCGCAACCATTTTTCCGTGTAAACCTGCACTGGAATGCCCCCTTGGCAAAACCAAACGAAAAGCGGCTACACCACTAGGAAGTTATTCTGGTCGCATGATGCAAACTCAGAGTTGGGCTGCCTATGCTACGCTGTGTTACGCTATGCTATGCTGTGTGTCTGGTTTGGCATTTTTCATTTCGTTGCTTCCCCCCTCCTTTAAAATAGGAGAATCTAGAAAGGCTTGAAGCTTTAGCGAACACCCAGGGGTCTCTCTTTCAACTTCACTGAAAGCCGTTGCCGCAAAGGCAACTCTCCCGAAGTCGCGTGGGGAAAGGGGCAGAGAACGCCGCCGCCCCCAGAACCGTTAACGGCCGCACTCATCTTTCCACCCCCGCCCCGCACCGCTCCGATTACTTTCGAACTGAACGCTCCGAGCCGGCTGATTGGCCCGAGGCTGCCGGCTCTCGGGGCACATGCGTAGACTAGAGCGGCTCGGGCGCTTCCCTTTTCCTTTGCTCTGGCTCTGATTGGCGGAAGGGGAGCGTCTGCTGGCCCGAAGGCAGCCGAGAGAAATTTGGGGCGAACGGCCGAGGGAGCTGCTGGCGTTCCCGGAGCTGCGGGCGACCGAGGTGAGCCTGGACCACGCGGTGAGTGGGTCGCTGTACACGTGAATGTGCGTAGGGGAGGCGGGTCGCCGCCATTGTCCCTGCCTTACGCCCCAAGCGCTTTGGTCAAGCCGGACCAAACCGAGGGTCCGTCTCGCCCCGCGTTCCGTTTGTGCGGGGCCGGCCAGCCGCCTTCCAAGCACAGGCAGCCCGCCAGCAGGCTGGGAGTGCAACAGCTACGGGGTACGCGAGCCTCCTGCCTCCGGAACTGGAGGCTACAGCCGGAGGTAATTGCATCCTCCGTCGATGCCCTTAATCCCATTTATGAAGTCTGGTGGGGCGGGGAGGCGGTTTACAAAGTGCTTCGGTTTCTGTTTAAAAACTGGTTAACACTAAGGATAACTCCTCCTGGGAAGGGGAAATAATTGCCGTCGTATAATCATCGAACCTTACTTGGTGCTGCTTTGGTATTACCTCACTTAGTCTCTACCTCCCACCCCGGACGCTTAATACGAGACTACTCCGGTAGTAAAGGTAGAGATTGTTGCTATTGATTTATTGGAAGCATATTGAAAATCGCTTATCTCTTCTGACCCTCATATGTAAATACACCTTCTGGTGGCTATTTTAAGAGCATGATCCTACTTACATTGGGTCATTGCCACTGCTCGCTGTGAAACTTCATGATCAGAGAAATGGAAATCTGCAGTGTGTGCAAACCCTTAAGCTTTTAAACTCTTGTATTATTTAAAAATTAAGCCTATTACATGTAAATACATCACACTGATAAGCCTTTCAACTGCATGTGTTAATACTGCAATTTCATCAGGATTTGATTGAAAAACCAAAATATTTAAAATGTTCCAAGAAGAAAACTAACTTCTTCCTGTCTCTGCAAGAGTTCCATTTCAGGTCCTGAAAGAAATTGACTTTATATTTTTTTTTCATATAGAAGCATATGGTATCTAATTTCTTACTGCATATGCTTTTCTACAGAACTGAACCTGTAGACATTTGACGTATATTGGAATTAAAGGAAGCTTAAGAGTCAGATACCATGTGTGGGAATACTGGGAGTTGCCGGGCATATTTCTGTCTAAAACTTGCATAGAATTGTATTGCTATTATTTTAGTTTTTTTAATTTATTCCATTCATCTGTTGGTATACTGGAATAGTTTCCTAGCTCGGTATGTGATAAAGAGCTCTCAATCTCTAGAAGACCAAGGGCACAGTTCACTGGGAATCTTTACTGTGCAATCTTCATCCACAACGATTACTATGCATTTCAAAATGACTTGGGCAGAGGAATTCCCAGAAGAGTAATTCTACATTATTTTGTGATTCCTAATAAAACATTCAGGTATAAATATCCTTTACAGTAGCTCTTTTTAAAAAGGAAGCTTCACTTATATTGCAAGTATACCATAAAGACAGACAATCTGATTTACTTGCAGAGAAAAAAATAGTGATTGATCTATATAAAGCCCACTAAGGTTTAGTTCTATTATTTCAGTACAGTTACTATGGTCAAAAAAGTACCAATGAACTACATGTTGGAGGAGAACCTTTCTCTGATTATCAGGTCCTTTGCCTATTCTCAAACACAACTAGCCAATGGTGAATAAATCCAAATATAGGCATTCTGTATTGGCTCAGATCTGCTGCTCTAAAATTAGGTTATACATAGCAAGCATTTTTGAATCGGAGTTTCAAGGTTTTGATATGGTTGAGTGCATGAGACCTGCTGTTCAAAGGAAACTAAATCTCTGTACATGGGTAATACTTGGGTTTGCCTAGTGGTAGGTTTTCTTTTCTTTTGTTTATGGATTGTGGCCATGGTTACTAACCATTGCAGTAGTTTTCCAAACTGGAATATTTTGGAATAGCAATTGTGAATTCAGACACTTCCAGCTGACACTTCCAACCCCTTTCCTGTTTGTTTTGTTGCTCTATTAAGTTCTGTAGTTCTATTACTTCTGTAGATCTTTTTCTGATCATCTAACACCACTTCTGGCCCACTTGCACTGGCTGCCTATATGCTTCTGAGTCCAATTCCAGGTTTGATCTATAAAGCCCTACAGAGCTTGGGATCACAATACCTAATAGCCTCTCCTGAGCTCTGTCTACTTGGACAGCTCTGTAAAAGTTCTGGAGCATTTCTCCAAAAGGGAGGCTCAGATGGTGGCAACAATGAAAGCCTTTTCAGTGGTCCTGTCCCCCCCCCCCCAGCCGATTATGGAACAAGCTCACCACTGAGGCCTGCCTGGTGCCAATTTCACTATCTTTTTGGTGCCAGGTATGAATTATCTTCTACTGCAGGGCACTTCATCAGTTATTGGGGCCTGCTGGTGGTTTAACAGTGTCTCTTGAATGTACTGTTTTTTCTGTTTTTTGTTTTAAAATTTGTGTTGCTAACTTTTATGTTTTAATGGTATATTTTATATTGTCTTTTAAATAAGCTATTGTGAACTGCTCAGAAAGCTTTGACTGTTGGGTGTTATATAAATTAATTAATTAAATTGTAAAATATGTTAGCTGAGGAACTGAACAGTATATTTCTGTGTAATGGGAACAACACTCTTTCCAGGTAGTGTGAAAGCCTTCTAAGTTAAGGGTTTTAAAAAATGTTTAGAGTCTATTCTTTTCCTGGGAGAAGCAGAGTGTTTTGGTTTAGCTTATAGATTCATATAAAAGTGCTTTCAAAAAAAAGTGCAAGTTTTAAAATACTTCCCCATAGTATTGGAATGGATAGTGTTTCATGCTTGAACTCTGTTCTGTCCTATTTTCAGAGAAGGTAAGAATTAAAATTGCTCACCCTCCTAGAAGCCCACCTTTCATATCTTTGCAGAAGCACTGGTCAGGGTGTGCTGCCTCATTTGAAAAGAGGCAAGCCCGGGGCAGTGCTTGAAGCAGAGAGGTAGCCTTATCATTCTCTGCTTATCTCTGGATTGCAAGAAAATAATTAGTCCAGGCATGTTAAATGGTAAATCAAAGATTTCATGTGGATATCTTCTGTGTATGTATGTTCTTGAATTTATGAGACTTTAATTGTTTCTTGTGGCACACTTGCAGTTCCTGCAAGATACATACTTTGGAAATGAATGCTTTAAAGTTACACAGAGTTCTTCTTTGGGAATCATAGTTCAAAGCAAATGTAAAACAATTGTGTTAAGGAGGGTGGATAAAAAGCAATGCTTTTTAAAAATTAAAAGCCACATTTTAAAATTTAAAATAAAATGCTTTTTGAGGAAAAATCTATCTAGTTTTCTGTTTAAGATACATTATAGTCCAATCATCAACATACTTTTGGATATCTGGGTGGCTGGATCTGAGTAAATTTAATCCATGAAACCTATGGAATTGACCCAGTAAAAAAGTGCTACCTATGTGAGTTGCTGAGAAATGCTTCACCTTTATTTAAATCAGAGTAGTTATGTTGTATCTAATCATATGGTTCATGCTTCAGAGGTTGCCATAAACAAAGTTCTTGCTTTATTGGAATGTTGTACAGGTTTGTATAACTCCTTTGTAGCTTGAGAGCATATAATTTTATAGGCAAAGTGAGAGTTGTTAGTGTATGACTACATCTTGGCTGAATGTACATGCATATAACAAAAAGATTTTGTCTGCAATTTACTTAACTCTCATCTGGTAACATAGATATGAAATTTAAAATAATTTTATTAAATAGGCTTCCCAGTTTTTAAATTCTTCTTACAAGTCTCTTGCAAGTTTACAAATGCTTCTTTTTATTTTTAGGAAATGCATCATTTTGAAGAGGAACTAACATGTTCAATTTGCTATAGTATATTTGATGACCCCCGTGTACTGCCATGTTCACATACATTTTGTAGAAACTGCTTGGAAAGTGTTCTTCACCTGTCAAACAACTTTTCCATATGGAGACCCCTAAGGCTTCCACTGAAGTGTCCCAACTGTAGAAGCATTGTTGAAATTCCTCCCACTGGTACAGACTCTTTGCCTGTAAACTTTGCATTAAAAGCAATCATTGAAAAGTATCAGCAAGAGGATCATCCAGATGTTGCTACTTGTAGTGAACATTATAGACAGCCACTGAACGTTTACTGCCTTCTAGACAGAAAATTAGTTTGTGGCCATTGTCTTACAATAGGAAAACACAATGGCCATCCTATAGATGACCTTCAGAGCGCTTACATGAAAGAAAAAGCAACTCCTGGCAAACTCCTTGAGCAATTGACGGATAAACACTGGAGTGAAATATGCTTGCTTATTGATAACCTAGAGATACAGAAAGCTCACTGTGAGAGTATTATTCAAGAAGATAAAAAAACTGTGCTGCAGTATTTTAAGAGACTGAATGATGCACTTGATCAAAAAAAACAAGCTTTTCTTGCAGCTTTGGATGAAGTGAATGCACAGATAATAGCAGAATATGAACCTCTTATTGAAATGATGAAAGGAATACGAGAAGAGCAACTTGAACTAATGTCAGTAAATACATCTATTCAGGAGGAGGAGTCTCCTCTTCTTTTTCTGGAGAAGGTTGAGGATCTCCGTCAGCGTGTTAAAGCTTTGAGGCAAAAACCAGTACCAAAAATTAAGCCTGTTGAAATTTATCCTCGAATAGGGCAAGTGCTGAAAGATGTGTGGACCAAAAGTGAAATCAGCCAGATCAATAAGATCCTTATTCCCAAAATAAAGCTGATTTCAAAAGAAGTATGCAGCCTCGACTGTGAAAAGAATAGACGATCTAAAGATTTTTTCTGGTCCTTAAGTCCTTTGGTAGCTATATTGATTATTTTGGTTTTGGGAGTTGTTTTCTTTAATCAACACTTAATATCATTTGTAAATGACATAGCCTTTCCATATATTCTGGGTGCCTTGGAAATAGTTTATCAAGACTTAAGTAAGAGGTTGAAGATGCTGACAGAAACTTTGTGGCACACTTCTGATCTTTTACTCGAATATCTATATGGAATAGTTCCATCAAAGTGAATATTTCAAATAGTAACTTTTGCTGTGTGAAGAACAAAGTGAAAACCTTAATGGATTATTTTAATGTTTGACCCATTACTTTTAACCTGATGCTAAGTATAGTATGATTGCAATTAAGAGTATGGTGGAGTCTATTGTCAGCAGCGTTGAAGTTACCACAGCACTGCAAACAGACATACCAGCAACAATGTTTAATGCTTGGGATAAACATATCTTAAAATCACAGTTCTTAGAATTTCTAGTCTTAGAATGTGTGCATAAGCTACCTCACACAAATATGGGTGTAAGTGGAGATAGATGGTCCTGTAGATTGGGAGACAGGACAGACTGATTTGATATCTGCCACTGCTTGTGCTAACTTTTCTAACTTTCACAATTTTTATAAACATTTCTTATTAAAGTTTGTTTCATGCACAAAAAGCTGGAATGAACAAATAAAGCATATGATAGCCATTTAGTTAGCTGCTGATGCTACTTTATATAATTTTTAGCACTTGCATGATAGGCAACCACACATTGAATATAATACCAAGTAAAGAAGTTCCTATGGGATTTAAAGTGGCCATCATGTAGGTGCTTATGTGTTGTTTCTCTTAATGTCTGTCATCTACTTAAGAATTATGGGGTCATATTATTCTTACTTTTAAATGATAAAATGTATAATGGAACTATTTTTCCAGATATTAGGAATTCAGAATTTCTATCTTTCCATGTGCTAAATGTTTTAACACTTTGTATTCCATTATTTTAACATTCTTTCTCAAAGCATTTAATAAAAAGTCAAGAAAAAGGGATATTGCTGTTCTGGGTAACATTGAAAGTTGGTCAGAGTAAGTGTGAGATCTTTACAGTATAATCAGGTTTATACATGTTACCATCCAGTTGTTTACTTGATGGATTATTGAATTTAGAGTTGTATGAACCTTGCTGTGTTTCTTAACCTTGCTGTGTAGTTTCTTAACTACAAAAATGCCCAGGAGACCAAAGTGGTAGAATCCAATGTTAATCATATGTAGAGAAATTTCATTTAAAAGAATGAAATTTAAAGTAGTCATGACTAGCTTAAGACCCATTCATTTCACTGGGTCTGCACTACACAGGATAATAGTTGATTTATTGTTGAGTGATAATAGAGGTCATGGTCAAGTGTGTCCAAAATGCTGTCATTCTGCTTGCCAGTACTTTAGCTCCACATAGCTATTTGAGATGCAGGGAGGTATGGTTGAAGAGAGAGACACAGGAATTGATACTGTTCACATGTGATGATAGCTTAAACTTAACTGTGAAATGTTAAGTATGAACAACCCATAGTTGCATTGTGAACTCTTTGTAGTTTAAAACATAGGCAGTTATGTCTGAATGCAAAATTGTGGGTTGTGCCTGGGTTGTTTGCTAAGGCAGCAGAGGTGGCAGGCAAGAACAGCTACACTCCAGTTGCTCGAGTGCTGGTCATGCAGGGTTGTTAGCCCTTTTCTCGCATACACGGGTGCTAAACTTGGCCTAGAAAAAGTGGAGGCACTCGTGCCTCTTCTCTCCTATTTACAGATTTCAGTTAAGTACAGGATACTTTTTCATGTGTACAACAAGAATATTGCTTTTCTTGTTCAAAACAAATTTGTTTTCATCACCATTGGACATCTTTATGAACTATAGTTATTTCAGCTTAGGTGTTTCTGTACTTTACAATGGTTGCAACAGTAACTAATAGGCTGTTTTCAATAAAGGATTTGCGCCTTCAGTTGAAAACTCGCATGCCTTGAGAGGCCTTCCTTGGTTAGAAAACATCTGGGGTAGACTAAGGACACTATAAGCTCTTCCTTTCTCTTCAGGCCATTGGAAATGGTAAGAGAAGTACTTTTCCACACCTTCCGTTCCCCTGAAACCATTTTTAAGGACCTGGCCACCACTGCATCTGGCATGCTTCACCATGGCTTAGGACATCACCACACTCTCCAGAATCCAGAAGGATGGGGGATGACAATCCTGTCACCCTTTTGTCCCTCAGTGGCATGTCTTACAAGAACCACAAACCTTTCAGGTACTGCAAGAACATTATTAGATAAGCAGAACCCAACAAAGCCACAACTTGTGTGCTCACTTCCTGATGTAGAATTGGGCATATGCATAGACCTCTGGGTCAGTTACAGGTACACTGCAGGCTCTACAGAAACATAGCTATGGTATGTTCATATGGTTATCTGAGGAAATGGTAGTACAAGGCTTTGTGCATGCCCCTGCATAATTTAGGGGAAAGCATGGACAGAAGTTGACAGTGATTACTGCTTGAAACGTATTCCATATCATGTTTACCAGCTTCATGATTGGTGAAAACAGAAGGGAAGCTATGAGGAAGATATTTCTAAGAGAATGTAGGTTCATGATCTGTCCTGCTGAGGGAATAATGGCAGTTGAACATTTCCCGAATATCATCTTCACTATCTCTGGGTGAAAGTCCCACTTATGTAGAGATACTTTGAACTTCTGAAGGCGCCAGTGTTGGTTGTTCCTGTGATCTGAACAGAGATGGAGTGATGTATGTGCCAGTGCCTGAGTTTGAGAAGGAAGAACACTGATAGGTGATTTTTTCCCCTGTATTGATCTGAAGGCTGAGAGATTTTGGAAGGGCAAAGAGCAGTCACAATGTTGGTGAGATAGGGTGATGACAAGTCAAGCATTAATGTAGGCAAAAACTATGTTTCTCATTCTTATCTATGCTGCAATAACCACTATACAGTTAGTGCAAGGCCAAACAGGATGAACCTGATTTGGAAGGTTGCCCAGTGCAAATCTGAGGAATGGGCATGAATGGCACAGATGAGTATATTTCTCAAAGAATCCTGAGGTCTTTTGTTGCAAATCAGTCTATGTAAAGAGAGTATAGCTGAGTGTGCTGTAATTTAAAATAGGCAGGTATTTTACAAGAATGAAAGAATCCAGGTAGAGGGCCCTCTGACTTTTCTTGGGACTTTAAAATACCTTGAGAAACCATAAACCTTCTGAATGAGGGAGACCCTTTCTATGATCTTGCTTAGAAATTTTCACCCTGAAGGCTATTGAAGGTTGGTGGAATATAATTCCAAGAGGAGGAAGTTTGTCAAATTTGATACTGAAACCCCTGGGCAATGGGGACAGTATCCACTTTTCCAGTGTTACCTGATTCCAAAAATGGAGAAAGCATGTTAATCTGCTGAAAGGTCCTGTAAGGGACTCCATGGTACTAGACAAAAGTGCTACCTGTTGCCCACAAGTATATCAAATTAAATGGCGGTATTGAGACTGGAAGGGCATTTGGAGTGGAAAGTAGATCATTATAGCAACCTATTAGGGTTGTTGTTGACTAGAAGGCGATTCTTACTTTGTGTGCTGATGCCCTCATCTTTTTCATTTTTGCATTTTAATGCTTTATAAATGGAAACAAAAACAATGAGATAGTTACCAAGGAACCTTATACAAAAATTGGTTATAAAACTGAATGTAGGAAGTTTCACAAAGAATCAGCAATAATCATATTATCTAAACTTATAATTGCACATAATACATAAGCATAAGTAATGCTTGTTAAATCAGCAGGTAGCCAAATGCAGCTAATAATTTCACATGAAGAATTGCTTTAACGTATACAGCAGTATAGCTTATTGTTAAAGCAATTTTTCCCACATCATAAAATTACAATTAAAAATATTTTGTCTCCCTTTCTCCCTCCCTCTCAGAAAACAATTATACTGATCTAATCATTATATACATTGTATGTCAATGATATCCAAAGATTGCATTTTTAATTTCAATTACAAATAAAAATAAGCTTTCCATTTATTACTAAATTAATTAACTGCATCTCTGTGACTTATATAATAGGCTTCCTATTTGTTAAATCCTTTAACTGGTCTTTATTTAAATAGCTGGTTATTTTTGCCATCACTTCATATTTTTTCCAACCTTCACCGGTTGGGCAGTCTTCTGTTTTCCATTTTGTTGCAATTTTAGCTCTGGCTGGTGTTGTCATACATAGTTCTCCAGTATTTCTTGGAAGGGTGGTGGTAAAATACTCAATAACATTCTTAGCATTAATTGAAAACTTAATTTTCAAAATCTTCTGTTTTTGACCTTATTATACAACCACCACATATGATAAAAAGTCCCTTCCATTTTTTTACATTTCCAACACTTCCTTGTCCATTTTTAAAATATTTTTATAATAAGATACCAGTGAAATAACTTCATGTACCAATTCTCTTAATGCTTGGCTAGCTGTGAATTTTATTTATTTTGTCCATAAAGTTTCCCATTGGTATTTCTTCTCCCAAAGTTTCCCTTTGGTAGAAGGCTATTTCTTCTCTGCATCCTACTTCTACACATTTTAACTTGTTCAGTTTCATTATATTGCATTAGGGGCTTGTTAATCCATCCTAGTAAATGGTCTTTTGCTGTGAAATCAAGTTCTCAAATTCCATTAAATCTCTTATGTTACCTTTTCCTTGCTGTGAATTTCCCTTTTGAAACCAGTTGTAAATAAAGAAGCCATTCTACCTTTTTCTTCCTCTTTAATATTTGGCCAGGGCAGGACTCTTCCTTGTTGATACATTGTATCTCCATATGGTATGAAGTAATTATTTTTCCTTGAATATCTGTCATATTATGCTTCTACTGGAGACATCAAATGAGATATTAATGGGCTAATACTTCTTTCTAAAGTATTCCACGTTCTTTTTTGGCCATTTCTAATTATGGTTTCTATTTTGTGCTGGACTTTTAGATCTGATTTCCTCGTTCCACAAATACTTTTGCATTCCTTCTTCTAGATCTACTATTTCCAACTTTATTAACCTTTCATCAGGATTTTTAATCCAGTCTGTAATCCAAACCAGTCTTGCTGCATCATCTAAATTAAAAACAGGTATTGCTAGACCTCCTCCTTTCATTTTCACCCTATATTACTTCAATCCTTGTCCTCCCCCCCGCCCATTCCAAATGAAGATATTCAGTTGCTTTTGCCATTCTTGTAAAAATTTTCCTTGTATGAAAACTGCTATTGTCTGAAATAAAAAAAATGGATGACATTCATTTTTATAATAGAAATTCTTCCCAGGAGTGAAATTTATAATTTGGACAATCTGTGTTCAGTTTTTGCATATTCATTCATATTATCTTATAATTGTTTTGGAATGATGCATTATTCTTTCCTGTCACATTTATTCTCAGATACTTGAGAAGTTATTTCACATCCTGAGATTTTTAAATACTCTCTTGTTCCATTAGAAATTTTAAAATTTTCATTTTTTCTTATTGATTTTATAAGCAAAGAAAGAGCCAAACTTCAATTTGATCTATTATATTTTTATTGATAGATGTGGTTTTAGGATCGTCAATACTGTATTGTCACAGTAACTTTTCATTTTGCATTCTTCATCTACTTTCGGATTCATGCCATGTGCAAAGCTGGGAACAAAGGACTAGCATTTAAAAGGTGAAGCAGCAAGTACAAGTTAAAACATAAAACCTCAAGAAAGTTACAATCCCAGTTCCAAAGAGAACACCCTTCAGCAGTCACCTTGACAGAAAAATAACTCATCCTATTTTATATTACCTAGGTAATAGGTGTTCCACAAGTAGAAGTCTAGTAAAGCTGGACAGAAGACTAATACCAAATACCTGCATTTTATTCCCTTACTGTGATGCTCAACAAGCAATCACATGGTGGGCTGCTATCTCACTTGGTATCTCCCAGGTGTAGGCAATCAAACCCTAAAAATGAAGGCAATAGAGATGGGCCACTTCTCCCTGGCACAGAATTCACTTCATCCCTTCATAAACCTCAAGAATAACCTTCTAACCTCCCAGCCTTCTCCACCAGATTCAATCGAGAAATAACAGAAAAGCCAATCAATTTAGTTAACTCGTGAGCTCCTATCCTGGTACTCTTTTATGCTACACTTGATAGGTAATTACAAAACTGGGGTTATGTATACCAAGGCCAACCAAAATTTGTATCCTCTTTAATAATTGGAGCAACATTCCTGTGGCTAACGGTCTGGACTGAGAGGTTATAATGCAAACTATCTAGACGTTACTGACTGGGGGAAGTGTGATCTGACTAGCAACTGCTGTCCAGGGTACACACAGACAACTTTCCAAGCTCTTCCAAGAAATGCCAGTATTGAATCCAGGATTGGCTGTCATTTTAGCTAATGGCCTTAACCAAGACTGCCTTATCCCAGGAAATGTAAATGTAAATAATCTTTACATATAAGAGTAATAACAAATTACATTTGTTGTAAGTTTAGCTTTATTAAAGAGGCTCAGTTTGCTTTGCAACCAACTGCACATACAATGTGAACTGATCTTACCTCTAATTTCCACATATTAAAACAGTCTGTTGTTCATGTAGTTTTTTCTTGCAGCTTATGTATCTACAACAATGACCATCCTACAGTATCATAAAAATAAATCAGCCGATTTATTAGTTTTATTTTAACACACAGTACAGAATGCTTTAAAAAAATCTACAACCCTTATGCCGCTCCCCAGTATTCCACTGCTCTTAAATGACAACTGTGTGGTTGAGCACAACAGAACCATTCACATCCAGTTATATTTTATGCATTACTCCGGAACTGAAGAGATTCTTGATTTTAAGAGGATAAACAGCCCTTAGTAGGATGTTAAAATTTTAAGCCACTTATAGCAAGCTGGTGTTAAGCTGAATATTGGAATGTGTCCATTAGAAAGATCTACTGGTTAAACTAAAAGCAATTTCCACATTCAGAAACATTCGACAGAGCCAACTTCAGCATGTCCTTTTGATGCAATCACTTTGGGATTTGTTGCAACACTTTTTGTTGTGTTGTAAGTCTTGTAAATACCAATTAGTCTGTCTGCAATTTCAAACATGTTGTTCCGCAGAGAAATAATGATGAATTGTGCATTTTTGGTTTGTTCCTGGAAATAATATAATTTGCATTAGTATTTCTGCTAATACATTTTGAGAACTGTAAGAAAAAACCTGGTACATAGCCATTTTGATGAAGGTTCCTTTATTATTCTTTTTTTCACTCTTGCTAGTTACTAGCAATCCTACCAGCAATGATTTGTAATGAATTAGAATTAGGTCTAGTACCATTCCACCACTAGCACAGAGAATGACAACAGCTAAAATAGATAGCCTTTCTTATAGGGAAAGAAGATGGTAAGAACTGTCCTGATCCTTTACAAAACCCCACTGCAGTCCTGTAGATAAAGGCAAAACAGGGCTTATCAACACATGGGATACAATCCATTCAATGCTAAAATCTAAATGTGAAAAAGTGAGGCTGTTTGCACATAACCTACAATTAACCCACCCACAACTTGCCACCATTACATGCAAGTGGTGTATGTTTGTCCCAGGCATTAAGTACAGTGATACCTCGGCTCACGAACACCTCAGCTCACAAACAAATCAGGTCATGAACAAAAATTACTGAAAAACTTTTACTTGAGTTGCAAACACTGCTTTGGGTGGCGACCAAGATGGCAGCCATTCCCCCCCACCCCCAGTAGGGAGATGGCCACGATCGCAGTTCCATTCATGCAGGGAAGGCGTCCGTGATCAAAGAAGCGTGGCTGCACTAAAGAGGGGTGCAGCAAAGCAGAGCCGCGAATCCGTTTGTCACGCCTCTGATCACAGACGCCTTCCTTGCACGAAAGCAACTACAATCTGTCGTGCTGGGGGAGCAGGGAGATGGCCATGCTTGTGCTTGGGGTGTGGGGGGGAGGGGAGATGGCCGTGATCTTTGTTGTTGTCACTTTGCTTCACATTTTTCTGATTTTAAAAATGGTTACATGCAGAAAGGAGGTGCAGAAAGAACCATACCTGCTGCCCTCGTAAAGAGCTTGCTGGGGGATTGGAGGGGGCTGGAACATGCACTTGTGTTGATTTCAGTCAGTGCACCAGCCTTCTGCTTCCCCCTATTTATTAGATTTTTATCCCACTCCAATAGCCATAAGGCTTCCTCCCTGGCTGCCCCTTTATACAGAAGATCACTGAGCTTCTGCTTACGGGCAATAGGACTACACTCTTAAATACATCAAATATTTAAAGTCTGGCTAGTATCAATTTATACAGTACTTACATATATGTAAAATGCTACAATGGATACATTCTTAAAATCAAGTGCTGCATCAATTTCATCCATGAAGTAAAGTGGAGTAGGCTTGTAATGATGCAGAGCAAAAACCAAAGCCAGTGAGCTTAATGTCTTCTCTCCACCTGACAAATTAAATATTTTTTTCCAGCTTTTCTTTGGTGGCCGAACACTGGAAGAAATGAATATTCATGACCTTACCTTTCTTGGTTTCATTCTATGTTAGAAATATTTAATTTATACAGTCTCAGTAATTTTACAAAACTGCTATAGGATAAATGAATACTATCAATATCATGTTCATGTTTTAGAATAGAAACAGGATCAAAGTATGATGGCTACTCTGACAAGCAAGGAAATTTTGTTAAGTCTGAACCTAAGATTTCTTGGCTCACACACTTAGCCACTTACTAGCCCTCAGTCAAAATATGCATGGACTAGGGGTGGAATAAACCTCATTGAAATCCATCCCTCCAACATTTGCAGCCTTCCTCATGTGTTTGGCCCAGTCTTACTCTCAGCTTGGCTCAATTTGCAAGTCTGCAAATGCTCAGGTAAAAAAGGCTGTGCAACCAGGAACCTTCTTCTGTGTCAGGTACAACCACCCAAATCCAGTGAACTCCCACCCCCACATGGATTTATCATAATTCCCTAGCTTAGACATCTGAAGGTGCCTTATACTAGACCAATGCTCCAGTTATTCTTGTCTGTTCTGACGGACAGCCTCTTTTTATAAGGCAGAGGACTTTTTCATTCAAGGATCAGAATTCCTTTTTACTGGAATTTTATGTATTTATATTTTTCCTGCAAGGAAACCAAGGTAACTTGCATACTAACTCTCCCCCTGTCTATTTTATCTTTGGACAGGTTAGGTAGAGTAAATGACTGGCCAAAGTCACCCATTCAGCTGAATGAAGACTAGAACCTTTGGGTTATAGGGCAGCATAGAAGTGGAAACAAACAAACAAACTTTTGAGTCCTAAACCAACACTCCCGCCATTATACCATACTGTTTGATTTGATCAAACCTCTTTGATTTTCTGCCACTTATAGCAAAATTCAGTGGCTGTTTTTAGTTGAAAAAATAAATCATATTTTTGTATTACAGAAATAATCTTGGCCTTGCCCTGGCCATATAAGCTTGCAAATTTCCTCGGATTAGTCTTAACTATGCTTACTCAAAACAAGACAATTTAATAAACTGTGAATTTGTCGTGTTTCTATTAAACAAAATTAAGATGCTTATTATTTAATGCACATTTATGCCATTCTTCAGGTGATAACAAAAACAGAAATTTATGAATTCCTTCCTTGGGAAGGTTGTGGTTGGAGACAAAGTGAGTGTATAGGAAGGCTAGTCTCTTTTTGTAATGCTTGGCTATTGGCCTAATGTTATGTCTCAAATACATATTTAATAAACATAATGTATACCATTCTATACACTTTGTAACACTACTGTAGTTTGTAAAAGGAGAATCTTGCTTTCCAAATGCTTTCCTTTAACTTAAAGTTACAGATAATACCAACCTGAATATGATTCCTTCAGAGAAAGGATCCAGACTATCTACAAGCTCTAGTTCTGCATCTCCTCCCAATGTAAGCATTTGATAATTTTCCTTTAGCTTGTTGGTTATTACATTAAATCCTGCCATAAATTCATTAAGCCTGTTTTTTCTAAGATCTTCATAAGCTTCTCTAAACTTGTCCCTCTCACTGGTAATTTCATCCAACTCTGCCACACGTTTTAGGTACAATTCTTCCTAGAATTTAACAAGAAAATGTCAGCCATGTAAAGTTAAGCTCCATACTTAAACTGTTTAATTTCATTATCAACTATTGCTTTAAGCCCACGTATTTTCCCATTGGCAAATAGCTGTATGCTTATATAATTCAGCAATCTAAACATGGTACGCAATTAACCACAGCAAAGTATGTTCAGATCCTTAAGAAAAAGCAAGTGAAACAATATTTTCCTCAAAACAATGCAGATGCAAATTTGCAGCTTCTATGTAAGTCCTAAATGTTCAAAAGCAAGTAAGAATGAAACATGAAAATCAGAAATGATTCCTACTTACAACCACAGCTCAATATTCAAACTGAGTATATTAAAAAGACAGGATATTGTATATGCATTTCCCCAGACAAACACATATACAAGAATAGTCTCTCACCCAATTTCTTACCTCAGGCATCTCAGTCCAATGCAGTCTTTTATGCCAAAGGTACTAATGTTCCAATTTCATGAATTAAAAGTAAACAGATTTTCATGGGAATCTATGTTTTAATGAAGGGCTATGTATTCCAATTGCACCTGCACCCAATGATAAATGTTTGAGTCCTTTGGTAATAATTTGAGGTGGGCAGGCTAAGCTAGTGCAATGGATCCTTTAGTTCTGATTTTAAAAAATCATGGCAGGATGAGTTCAAACACCAAGGCTCTCCCATATGAGAGGAAACACACTCTGTGGGGTAACAAACCAATTGTATATAACTATGTGGCTTGGTGTGCAGATGCTTCATCTAAGTCATTCTTAGTAACATTATGCTTTCCAGATGGACCAGTTTCACACAGCTCCATCTAAAGAACTTAACTAATTGCAAACAGAAATTTCAGGTATTATAATCTCATTCCATGCAGCTATATTTGGTTGTAAAAAATTTGGAAAAAGCTAATACTTACCTTTTTATTATATTCCTCAATGGCTCCCAAGTTTGGTTTCATTTCATGACACTGGGCTTCTAAAAGAGCTATCTGATTGGTTATAATATTTGTATCTTTAATAGCCTCAAGTTCTTCTTGACTAAAAATGGGAAGCTCTTCAACTTGTTTATCTTTCACAGAATGTAGTGATATTTTTGATTTCTGAAATATATTTTAAGCAGTTAAAGAGTAAGTCAAATTCATATGTGTACAGCTGTAAATGTGGTGAGGGCATTGTAATTTAAGTTTGTTTTCTAGCGTGCAATTCTTGGATGCCTACTGCTACTGAGAGTATACATATATTAAATGTTTATATTTTCTTTTGGACATGAGAACTAGCATCTAGCTCTCATTATGTAATATATGGAACTTTTACCCAAGAAACAATAATTCTATGCAGCAAGATCATTCAAAAAGGTGCACTGAGTTCAATTGAAGGATACATTGGATTATGCAGTATTTTGGAGGAGAGATAGGGAGCAAGAGAGAATTTACATATTTTCCTTCTGATAGCTGACATGTGCAGATCAATATGTCCACCCCCTCCTCCTGTGGTTATTAGGAGGATTAATCCCCAATCTCAGCTCTAATTGCTCCCTAGCCTACAACTGTTTACATCTGAACATACATCAAATTAGTTTTCAAGAGTCTAAATTAAGAGTCCAAGTCTCAGTAATATATAAAGTGTTTATTACCTCCTTTTGCCAATGCTTAATCTTTGACTGATGTTCTGCAATGTGACTGTCCAGCTGTTCAATTTTAAGCCGAATATTAAGTGCCGCTTCTTGGAGCAAATGTTCTTCTTCTTGGATAGCTTTAATCTCTTGAAGCACAGAGCGATGCTTCTCTTGAATCTCTGGTAAGGATTCCTAAAGAAAGATCAGGATGAAGTTAAATCTTTAGTATTAGGTGATCAAAAGGAATTTTCTTTTTTAGTGCTCTATTTCTACATAATATATGCTAACAATTAAAAAGTTTTTATTTTCAATTAAAATAAACATTGAAAAAGAATCAGCATTAATGAATAATATATCATGAAAAAGTACAAAGTTGCTGGCAACTGATGTGTTGGTGGTACAGCGGTGTGTATTGTTTGTGACAGTGAGACCAGAGGAAACAGACCTACTAGAGGCAAAGAAACCTCCACCTTGGTGAATGTAAACACCAATCCAGGAAATGAATCTTGGATAATGAGAAGGATTGTTATCTAGTGGCTAGAATGTTGAACTGGAACTTCAATCCAGCTTGTCCCAATAGTTTTGTGGAAGTAGCAGTGTCTCAGCTCAAACTGTACCAATCCAAATGTGATGAGGACCTGTAGATCCTCTCTGCTAGGGTGACTGTTGACCATGGTGGTATGGAGATTGGCCAGTGATCAATTGTCCTTTAAGACTGTGTTGATACTGGCAATACCTTTCTAAGCTTGCCTTCTAAATATATGTGATTGATACAGAATCCTGTTTCCAAACAGAATCCTGGACAGAGTCATTCTCTATAGCTGGTTTCAGAAGTTAGGTTTGAAGTGGTATCAGGAAATCAATCATGAGTGGAGAGGGCAGTTGTGATGACATTACCATAGTAAACCAGACTGCTTCCTTCTTTCAGCCGTAAAGAAGACTGTTGCACTCTGAATTTTTTCTACAGATTCTTTGCTTTGGTAGGCTTCAACAACTGCCGTGATGTGAATGGGTTGGTACATCCTGAATTCTTAGTTTGAGCTACAAAATTTCTGAAGACTTAAATAAAGTAGGAAAGGGTCTTTAATGTCTCAAGAGGGAGGTCCTCTGCACTTGAACCATAATGAGCTTGTCTGTCAAAGCCCCAGTGCTTCAAGGGCTTTCTTCCACAAAATAGTTCATAGCATATCACAGCTATCACACCTCACCCATTTTGTAAAGACCTGACACTGCACACAGGCCTCAAATTTGTGCCCTTTCTCCAGGTAGAAAATACACAAGGAATGTCTGTTAGAGGGAATTTGCTGCCACAACAGACTCATTTGCAAAAAGAGGTATGCCGTCTTTCTACTGCCTTGTGTTGATCAGCACTTAGTCAAGAGCATGTGTGACTCCAGATTCTCTTTCCTCCTAGCTGCAAAGGACGGGCAGTCCAGTGAAGCCAAAGAAATGGCTCTAAGAAGTTAGTATTTTTCCTACAGTGCTTCTGTCTGCTATACAGTGCTGAAACATGTGCAGAATTCTATCCCAGGAAATTGTATGCGCTTAAGTTAGCCCTCTTAAATGTACTCAGAAGCAACTGTTACCAACTCGTAGCAATCAGGCAGGTCATAAACCTAGGACACCGGAAAACAGGATTAACTGTTCTAGTGAGTTTCCTTCGTTATTCCACACTATGATAGAATGACTATGAATTTAGAACAGAAAGAATGCTTATCTTCAATATGCTTTCAAGTACAAAATAGTAAAGGCCCCAGATGAGCATCATTTCATACAGTGGAAGTACAGCCTTAGTAAGACTTAAATGGTGTTACCTGCACCTGATACCCTTCTGTTAACTAGAATGTTAGGTAGCATTGAAGACTTAAGCACTTTTAGCATTTTATATACTTTTCTGATCTGAAGAATACATACTTCAGCTTTTTTGCTGTCAGTCATAACTTCAGCAGCTCTTTCATCTAGTGCACTTAGCTGTTCAGTTAAGTCTTGTATGGTCTTTTTATTCTCTTCAATTTCCTTCTCAGTATGAAGAACAGCATCCTCTGCTTTTTTCAGGTTTCTACCCAGAATGCACAGAATAATAAAAGTAGATATGAAGCCCTTTTTCTAGGTAAATTATGAATCTGAGTATAATTCAAATTATATGTAATAATGACTGAAGATATATGCTAAGAACTTCCATGCTGTCTCTTAGGTCATATTCTGGTTATATTATTCTGTGGTTGACATCTTTACAAGTTGCCACCCCCTAAATCCATCTGCAGCTCCATCTCTGGCTTTCCTCTAGTGGTTGTCCATAGAAACACAGCAAATTAGCAGGGGTCTTCTAGGCCATCTAGTCTGTCCCCCAGCTCCAGCTGGCTCTGCTCATGTAACATGTGGTATTATCCATAGTGGACAGAGCCTGTAGTATAATGCCAATTGAAAAAGACCAGAAGAATATGTCTCTAAGTTATTGAAGCATCATACTGTTATAACAAATATAATGATTTATAAGACGGTATCTGATGAAAAAAGATATAACATAGAAAATATGTGAATATGTGTCTGTTTATTATTAATTGGATTCCTGAAACAGATCTAAATAACCTGCACTTTCATTTTGAAAACAAACGCCCTAGTTTTAGAGAAACTAAACACTGGCCATATGTTCACTTCCAGAAAAGACTTGACTACATTATCTAAGGCCTCAGTCAGACTTAATATATGGTTTGTTAGGTCTATGTGGGTGCAAGTGAGCATGTTGTGTCCTGGTTACTCCAGCTTTGTCTCTGTATTACAAACCTGAGATATATGAACCTGGAATTCTGAGTTCTTGAGGGAAGAACATCCTAGAGTATTAACCCATGGTTTGCTATAGGGTTTAAACAACCCAATGGTTAGTCATTCAGTATAAACGGAGTTTGTATTTTTCACACATTTAACCTTATTTCATAATATTCTCTATTGAGTGTTTTTTCTTCTTTACTCCCTATCCTCTGCTTCATCATCCAGGTTTCTCTCTGTAGATTTCCTGCCACCTTATTTTCATTGCTGAGTATATGACAATATACCAGACAAGCATACAATCCCTTATACACAAATTTCAGTATTATGAGAACAGAGAGCTTCACTAAAAGTTTTCTTTGAAGCATTACTTTGCAGTTTTCATAATTGTCTTGTTTAAATGTTATAACAAAATGAAGTACAATGTTGGTATTTCTATGATAAAGGTACATAAAAATATAAAACTATACCTATCTGCTGTCTTGATTGCAACCTGAGCTTTAGTAATAGCAGAAGCACACTGATCTGCTTCTTTGTTTAACTTATCAAGATTGTCTTGGTGGGCTTTAAGTTTACTGTTATTGATTTCAATTATGAGATTATGTAGTCTCTTAACTTCTGCTTCCACTTTCCCAGCTTTCGCAGCAACCCTGTCATATTCTGTCAAGGAAATATTTAAAAAATCATGAATATTTTGCTTATTACAAATATTTTAACATAGGTAAGTTGTTCACATTATGTCAAAAACTTATGTTTAAGAACGTAACACTGTGAAAAAATATATATTAGCATTCATAATACACTGTTCATGCTAATTCAGCTACTTAATGAATTAAATAATTCTCCTAAAAAGAAAACTACAGTGGTACATTAGCTCACAACTAAATCGGGTTGCTAACAGAAATTTAGGAAAAAATTTTCCTCAGGTCGCAAACTCCGCACTGGGTGATGATTGCAGGGGCGCTCAGGGGGCAGGGGGGGATGGCCGCAATCACGCCCATGCCCCTGAGCGCATCTGCAATCGTGCCCGTCCCACGCGTACCCACGATCGCGCCCGTCTCCCCCCCCGACCACGCCCGCGATCGTGCCCATCTTCCCTGTGATTAAAAAAAAATATTTACAGAATGGATTAACCTTATTTACATTGAACCTTATGGGGAAATTTGACTTGGCTCACAACCAATCTGGGTCACGACCAGAGTTCTGGAACAGATTAAGTTCGTGAGCCAAGGTACCACTGTAAATCTAAGTATTTCAAAGCTTAAGCTGTGTTTAAACTGAAATGTATAGCGTATTGACAGATAGTAAACATGAAAAACAATTTATCTATGATTGTACATATTCAAGAGATCATCTATGCATTGATACATGGATCATGTGACTATGCAGGACACCATTTGGAAATTCTACAGCTGAATAACTTAAAGACAGAAAGTCCTATCCGGGCTAGGGTGTAGTTACTGCTTTCATGCTCATCTCTGAATACCAAGACAATGAGCTAGAAACCATATCCACTCAGGAATGGAAGACAGGTTGCACAAATACACAGATGGCTACTTGAAAAACCATAAACTTTCCACATCACAAATATGGGTGAATTGCAAGCTCACTTATCAGTACTGGCCAGCTGTTACTGAAGAACCAAGGACAGGACTGTAAAGCCAAAGTCCTCTTTGAAGTAAATTAGGAAGGCAGCTACCTGGAGAAGGGCCTTTTTGGCAGTGGCACCTGACTTATGCACTTTAATGAATTAATTCCCAACATACATAATTCTCTGTAAAGTTACCTACCTGCTTTTAAAGTATTACATTTTCTCTCCATTTCCTTTTGCTTTACTTTGTCTGGAGCGGAAGCAATCACGTTTGCTTCAAGTTCTTTAACCTGGACTTTTAAGTGAGCTTCTTGTTCCGATAAACTCTAAAAAAAAAAAATACAAACAGTCTTGCTGATTGTCTATGAAAAAAACAGACTTGTTTAACCCAACTATCATCCTAAGGAATGAAGCCTCAACAAGAAATAAGCACCATGATCAATGTGAAACTTGTTTGAGTTTCCTTTTAGTAGCAGACCTCTTAAAAGCTCACTGTCCTACTAAGCAACATTCCATGATGTGCAAGCTGCTGTTAGCAGAAGAAATATCATCCATATATAGCCAGGAGTATTTTTCCCTTGCTCACAGGTTAATGTGTTGATTCCAGTTATCATTCTTAAAGCGTATTTCTAAATGTTAGTTTTATTGATCTCTATGTACACAGACACAGGAATTTTAAAAATGTTTTGCAATTTTGCTATAACTATAACCAAAGAAACAAAAAGTTCAAAAACATCTCCCACATTCATTGCTCACTCTGAGGTTAACCTTTCCAAGTAAGTACAGGAAAAGACAGGTAGGAGAGGAGCTGGTTGAGTTCCAAAGCCTGAAGGTGCCTCAAGTGGTTTCAAGAAGCAACATGCAACACACAACTTGCTGAGAGAAGGGGGGAAGAGAGCATAGCTGATTGGGTGCCACTACTAGATAGTGTCCCAAGAGTGTGAAGTTATTTGTTTATAACTTTTATATGTCTTCCCTAAGATGTTAATCTTAGGACAGCTTACAATCATTAAAATCAAAATACAATAAAACAATATATTAAATATGTAACAAATAAAAATAAAGAAAAAGCAACTGTTAAGCATTAAAATACTAATTTTTAAAATAACAAAAAGAGTATATGCTCTATATATAAGTTAGTACTGTCAAGCCCCCTTTGCCCTCTTTCCAACTTTGGAGCTTTTGAAAAACTTGTGAGATTGCATTTTTTAAATGCTCCCCAAGGCTAAAACCACACTTTTAAAAAGACATTTACTCAAATTTTTAACAATTCAGGAAGTCTCAAATAACATGACAGCAACTTCAGCTTTTTTCAGTTTGGGTGGAAAAAGCTTTTAAACAGTTCACATCCTTTGAACAAGTAAAAAAAATACTTGGAAGTTCAGCAAGAGAGATTTGAATCACGATCAAATGTTTACCATCACATTTAAGAGATATTATCCATGGTAGGTATATGGTATTTCCAAAACTAAAATTAACTACAACCCTATACAACTCTACTTAGAAGCAAGTCCAATTAATTTCAAGTAGTGCTTAATCCCAGGACATAGGTAAAGAATTGCAGCCTGAGATAGCTTCAGGCCTTCTATAAAATAAGCTGTATTTTGCAATTCAATAAGCAATGAGCAGAGTACACCTGTTCAGGATTTCACTCAGCCATTCTTTCACCCTCAACACTTAATGGCTACTAAGTGTGCCCAGTCCACTTTCCAGTGCTTCCTTAAGGCTTTTAAAAATACTTCTGTAGAACTTATGATTGCCCAAAGCTTACTGATATTGCCAGGATGGATTTAATATAAAACAAATCAGTTTAAATCACTAGTCAGTAAGAGTAGATTTAAATTATGGTTATCAAGATACTTTTGCATGTTTGCCTGCCTTACCCGTAGGTAGCGGAACTTCATTATAATATTCCCAAACTGGGTCTCTTTTATGCCCTGCTGCCACTATAGGTTTTCTCCTCCAAGGGAAGAATAACACGATATACCTCAGGCTATGCACATACATTCAAAGACTTGTGGAGTATTCTGGTCAAAAGGTTTCCCTTTCATTTTTACTGTTTGCCCCTCCCTCTTCACACTTGCTTTCCTGTGCACAGTTATTCCACTCCCAACAATGTTCTTCGCTGAATTTTTTTGAAACTTGGCACTTAAGAGGTAAGGGGTTGATTCTGTGTACATAAATTTGCAAAGGAACAATGGGATTAAGGTCTTGTTCGCAACCCTGTATGTTTATAACATTTTTGCTGTGAAGAAGAGGCATGTGATCTCTGCAGACACAAATTCAAAGTTCTGAGAAATATAAATCTAAACATCTGAAATATCTTCTAGATGGAAAAAAAATGCTCAATCATCTTACAGAAACCCCTAGAAGAGCATAACATTGTGAATGGATTAATGGAATTCATTTACCAAAAACTTTAAGTATTACATGAAAACACAGCCTCATTCTACCTAATTAAAAACTAATCTTTATTTCATGATGAATAACCTTTGGACTATAATGCATCTTAAATGGAAAAGCTATCTTAGGTATTTTTCTCAAAGTATTTTATTTAAAAATCCAATTTAAATTATAACAATACAATTTAAATTTTAAAAATCAGATTTTAAAAAACTCCACCCTGAATATCACCCCCTCTGGATGGTGACATTTTGGATACACAAGAATTTAGATCAGTATTCGTATATCTAAGTAGGAAGTGCAACACAATACACTGAGGGTTCCTGTTCAGAATTACAAACACTTTGACATCAAGTCAGTCCCTATGTTTGCTGATGTCTCCTTTTTGTGCATGGGTGCTGAGATTTGGTCAACATTAACTGTGAGACACACAATTCATCTCAATTGAAGATGCTGATTACCTGGATACTTGCACTGTATTTTTCTAGTGTGTTCCTCATTTCCCTGACAGTCTGTCGCAATTTTACTATCATTTCTTCAAGTTGCACTTTCTCTTCCTGATATCGCATTGCTTTTTGTGAACTTTTTTGCAGTTGAGTTTCCATTTCATTTACCTGTAAAAATAAAATTATGTTAAAATATTGATGCCATATTTATAACATGCTTATCAAGAAACTAGTACAGTTCAATTCTCTAGTGTTTATTTCCTAAAAACTGCTTAGTAAAAGAGAGATGAAAGACAAACCTCCCTGAAAAAGTCAGAGCAAGCATAAGGTTAGAAACATAAGAAAATGTGTTTTCAGAGAGATAAGGAGAAGCAAAGAAAGAACAGGAACAAATAAAACTAGAAAAGAATAGGAAATAAAGAGTATAGTAATTTAAGTATAAAGTATGCCAATATACGGTGTTTTTTAAATAAATGTGACATCCTTACAGAATACAAAGTATCAAGAGGAGCAGAAGAAAAAAAAATCCAATTTGTGACTGTGCCCTAGACTAAAATTTAGTCATGGAACCAACCAGAGGGGAGGCAATCCTAGATTTAGTCCTAGGTGGGGTTTACCAGGATATAGTACAGGATGTAAAGGCTGTCAATACATTAGATAATAGTGACTACATTGGTATCAGATTTAATATGCAGTTAGGTGGAAGACTGTCAAAGACATCAAATATAGTTGTGTTTGACTTCAAGAGGAAACTTCTCAAAAATGAGGAAACTGGTAAAGCAGCTGAAGAGAATCAATAAGTTTAAATTGCTTCAAAGTACTTGGAGATTATTCAAAAACGTTATAAAAAGCAGGGGACTTGCATCTCCCCTTTCTGTGAGGTCCTCCAACCTGCTTATTTACTGCTATCACCCTCAAGGCATTTTCTCTCAGACCTACAAAGTCCTTCCTACCTCAAATGGCAAAAATCGTGTGCCTTTCTTACAAAAAAAACAACAACCCAATAGCAACATTGTTTCTTCTGGTCTCCATGGTTCCTTCTGTCAGCCCCCTCTTGGTCTTATTCTCCATACTAGCATTTTGGCCATTCATGGTGCTTGCTAGCCAACATAGCTCAAGTATCCATACAACTCAGCCTTTTTACCCCCCTCTCCATGCATTACCATGCTGAAGACTATACAGTAGTCCACCGAAATTCGTGGAGGTTGCATTCCTAGAGCACCCGCAAATTGTGAAATACAAATTTGGTGCCGGTGATGGGCGCAGGCCGCCTATGCGGTGCAGGTGGGGTGCACGGGCCAGGGGTGCATGCATGGCGAGGCAGGGGTGGGAGCGCGCAGAGTTAGTTTTCTCCAAGCAAGACTGCTTGCAAGATCAGTTTGGACTCGCTCGGATAAAATTATCTCCTTGTAAGCAAGCTGCCGCACTGAAAATTCCATGAAAGACTGAGGCCGCGAACGCTGAACTGCAACTTCAGGGGAGTATACTATATATATGTCTAAGGAAGATAAAGCAGCTGTGTGGATAGGTACAGGAGATGCCTGAAGTGCTTTTGCAGAAATGCAGGAAAAGAAGAGTAAAAGGCTTGGTATTTTTGTAAAAAGGAGACAAGTGTTTTGCATACTGAACATTTCTACAGGCGCCATCCATCGAAGCTTTTCCAAGTAGCTTCCAAGGTTACCGGTGAGGTTGAGGCAAAAGCATTCTTCCTTCCTCAACAAGAGCTGGTTGCTGACTTTTTGCCTTGTTTGCTTTTGCCTCTCCTCCCCCATGCACTTCAGCTAGGAGTCTTCTCATGCATCTGTGATTGCAGGAGCCAGTGAATGGCCCCTTGGGTGGAGAGGGAAAGAGGACCCTCAGCCTTTGCTGGTTTCAAACATTCTTCCGCAGCTTCTGCAGGCTGATTTACCAACTACATTCCCATCTGGTCATGTGGAGCTTGGTGTGGGGTGGTATCTGGTAATCTCTCTTCTGAATTACTATATTGCATTCTATGTAGGGCTGCCTTTGAAAATAATCTGGAAGCATCATTTGATTCAGAACAGGATGGTACAGCTGTTAACAAGGTCTGGCCTACAAAACCATATTATGCCAGTCCTTGTTCTGCTGCACTGGCTGCCAGTTGAAGTCTGGGCCCAATTCAAAGTGTCGATATCAACACACTTGCCCCAAAACGGCTTGGGGACAGGTTATCTAAAGCATGGGTCCTTAAACTACAGCCCGCAGGCCGTATCTGGCCCGCCATGCTGATTTATCTGGCCTGCCTCAGAGCTTTTGGAGACACTCGGAGAAAATGATCTCTGAGCGAGTCCAAAAGCTGTGAGCTGGCACAGGCGTACTCAGTGGGGAGATGGCCGCGGTCACGCTCGTGCAGGGAAGACAGGTGCTACCACAGTCGTGCTTGGGAGGGAGATGGCCAAGTTTGAGAGGTCCTTCTCCAGGAGCCACCCCTAAAAGAATTGTGGGGGGGGGGGTGTTGGAGAAGTGTTTTCTCAGTGGTTGCATCCCATCTCTGGAACATGCTTCTCAAGGAGGAAGTGTGCTTTGCATAACCCCTATTTGCCTTTAGGAACTAGGTGAAAAACATTTTGTTTTTCAGACTTTCTTAAATAAGATCTGATTTTAAAACTACTTTATGCTGTTATTCCATGTATACACTGTATTAATATTATCAATTTTATTAACCTTACAATAGCTGTGAGCTGCCATGTTTGTTTTTGCTTGAATTTATGTTATTGTTTTTATCTTACTGTTTTATCTTGTGCCACATTTTAACTGTACACTGCTCAGAGAGCCATTTGGGCTATAGGACAGTATAGAAATTAAATAAATAAATTAAGTAAATACATGCAGAAGTATGCTGGCTATCCCAAGGAAAAATTCTGAGAAGGCTTCATGAGCTGAAAGAAGTTTTAAGAACTCAACTGAAACATGATTATTACTCAAAATTCAGATTACGGATTCAGATAATGGGTGTACCTTGCAGACATATTTTCAATTTTAAATGAAATTAATATATGCCTCCAAACTCTAATTAAAGTTAATGATAAAATAAGTCCCTTAACAGAATTATTTATTTTATAATTCAAGTGACTTCTAGATACAAAATTATTTGAATCTTCATAAAATTGTTCAAGAGTACATAATAGAGATTTATTGAACCTACAAAACACAATTAGAGAATATTTTCTAGTACAAACAGAATCATATGACTGGATCAAAAGTTTATTTAATCAATGTCAAAGTGAAAATTTATCAATGAAAGACGGAACAATTAATTGATTTATCTACACATTTGACCTTAAACATTAAGTACCAACAGGAAGGGCTTCTTTACAAATTTACAGTGAGTATTCTGACATGTCTGATCATGCAATTGATTCCTATACCTTTTCCCACAGCTTGTTTATGCAAAAAGACTTTTTCTATGTACATCACAAGGAAACCAAAATTCAGGAATAAAATGCAGAATCAGAAATGTGCTAATAACTGCCCATCAATAGCACCAAATTTTGTGACAAAAACAAGCACATCTAAATCACTAAAATGAAGTATATTTTTTCATTTTATTCAGTAGTGATGATATAATACTGTATAGTCAGTAGCAATGATTTTTTCATTTTATTCAGTAGTGATAAGGTATTAATTCAGTAAATTTATTGTTACTATGTAATAAATGGAGTTCATTAATGCATTAATAATTTCTGTTCACATGGCATGAAATGTATTATTGCAACATTAATTGTAACATTTTGTCTAAATAAAATGTATTACATGAAATGTACTTATTAATGGGTTCTGCACTGATTTTTCACATTGAATATCTCAGATTTGAAGACCACTGCCCTACAACTTTGGCAGGCACTGCCATCTGGTGGTCAGATGTGGTAATATACTGAATATCCTTGTTTGGGCATGACAAGTAATATAGCCTATGGGAGACTTAAGGAGCTGAGTAGCAGAGCTTAGTGCAGGAAGAAAAACTGGGTGGAGTCAGAACAGCACCAAGTGTAGGGACAAAATTCAGGATCATGTCTTGGGAAATAGGGGGAATGAAGCCACTGTTGGATGCCTCCTCACAGAAAACTAATAATAAAAACTTTAGAACTTCATCATTGACACAGTTTTTCCTACATGGAGATAATCATGTAGGAAAACAAGGATTTTACCACTTTGCACAAGTACATATTACATGAGCACTTTGAACTGTGTTTCTTCTGAGCAATAGTTCACTGAAACACAGCTTCATATACACAGGATTAAAAGTGGCTTGCTTTTCAAGCTAAACAAGCTTTATGTAGATTTTTATGAAATCACACTTAATCAACAGCAAACTTAACAGCAAACAAAAGTGCTTCAGTCTGGTTGACCTATGCCATAAGAGAAAGAAGTGTGAGAATCGAATGTTCACCTTCACTAATGCATTTAGCAACGAATAGAAACTTATGTCCAAAATGCAGTATTCTAGAGACACTAAGAAGCAGGGGCTTTCTGAAAGCATATGAAGCCTCCAGATATTTAACTTTACTATGTCAACAGGGTAGTGATTAGTTTTCCAATGACAAGTTGTGATTCAGCACCGTATCAGTAAGAGCATCATGACTTAATTCCTACTGGACTACACAGAGCCTTAACAGAACCCTCCCCAACACACAGAAACTTTAACACTGAGTCCCATTGAATTCAATAGGATAAATGCTATCATTGTGCTTAAAATTGAAATCTCACAATGTTTTATATTTTAGCTCAACATCTCTGCAAAAGAATATTTAAAATTAAGGAAAACAATTTAGGGTGGGGGGAGAATACCAATTATGTAGCTTTGAAAATGCCCTGGACATGCAGAAAGACCAACAAGTGAGTCCTAGATCATCAAGTCAGAGCTTTCCCTAGAAGCAAGAATGACAAAACTGGGGCTGTCATACTTTGAGCACATCATGAGAAGGCAAAACTCCCATCAAAAAGACAATCATGTTAGGCAAAGTCAAAGGCAGAAAAAAAAAAAAAAAGGAAGACCAAAAATGAGATGGATTGATTCCTTAAAGGAAGCCACAGACTGGAATTTACATGAGCTAAACAGGGCTCTCATGAACACATCTTTATTCATAGCACTGCCCTAAGTCAGAGATGACATGACATCATCCAGTGACAACAAACCAAGTATGCAAACACATACTTGAAAAAATCATTTTCCAGATGAAAGTCTCTCAAAGGTACTTACCTCATCTTCTGATATTTCAACTACAACAGAGGATCCCATTCTACCCTTCATTACTTTTCCACCACCACCAGTCATTGTCCCTATGGAATGATCAGAAACAGATAAGAACGAATAATTTCACATTCAAATTCTATTTTTAAAATGTAATTTTCTCTCTTAAAATTACCTGACTGTTCTATGATTTGTCCTTGCAAAGTTACAACTCTCCACCTCTTATCTTTGTGGAAAGCAACTCTTGTAGCCTGATCCAGGTTATTAGCTACTAGAGTATCCCGTAATGCAAAATAAAAGGCTTGGCGAACTTTTTCATCTTTAACTTTTATCATGTCAAACAAGCGTGGAGTGTTTTCAGGAGTCTGGATTTTTCCCATGCTTTTCTCCCATACTGCCATCTGAAGAAGGATGAAAACCGCCATTAAAAACAGAATTTTATTTTGATTTATTAAATACATTTTATACTGCCCAATAGCTAAAAATAATAACTGCACAGGTATATACACACAAAGTGAGGTTGTCTAACTGTAACTCATGTTCTTCAAGTGGTCATCTGTGCATTCATGCATATGGGCTCTGTGCCTGTTGTCAGAGAGATAAGAGATTCCTTAACTAGGTGTTTCAGTGGGAGTCCCACCCCCTTCCCTCATGTGGTATATAAAGGTGAGGCTCCCACCATTTTCTCCAGTTTTCATGAGACCGTCACTTGGGCCAGTTGGCAGGTTGTGTAAATGCACAGATGACCACTTGAATAACGTCAACTACAGGTAAGGAACCTCTCTTCTTCATGGTCTCTGTGCATCCCATATGGGCGCTTAGCAAGTTACTGTGGAATGGAGGTGGAATAGTGTTGTCAGCCAAGGACTGCTAATAAGATTGCCCATCCAAAGGAGCAGTGTTGTCTGGCTCTGACATCGAGCTGGTAGTGCCAAATCAATGTTGACGGATTAGACCATGTAGCTGCTCTACATAAGACTTCTACTATTATACCAGTGTGGAGTGCTACGAATGTAGGTAATGCTCTGATAGCATGCACTTTTGGTTTTTCTGGGAGTTTCAGTTTGGCTAGTTGGTTCACTAGTTTGATAGTCTCTACAATCCAGTGAGCTGGTCTTTGTGGACTTATGGGGTTGCTTTTTGATCTTTCTGCATACAAGACAAGAGTCTTTTGGATTGGCAGAATGGCTCTGTGTGGGAGTGATAAAAGGCTAAGGCTCTTTGCCTGTCCAATGTGTGGACAGCTGTTTGTACCAGTTGGATGGTGTCAGGAACATGGTGACATTGCCTCTCAACATCCAGGCACTTCTTTGCAGGCTGCTGGTTGCAAGGGGGGCATCCCTACCTTGCTGTGTGAGTAGTCATCACTGGCGAGTCAGGCAGCATGGCTGGCTTCTGCTGAGGTAAAAAGTTGGGCCCTATAACCACTTACATGCTCTTGATGTCTGTGGTGTGAAGCCCATTCTTCTCACTATTGCTCTTGCTTCTGCACACTATCCAACTTCTTGTTCATCCAAGTATTCAAAAGACCCTCACCGACAAAAGGCATCTCTTCTATTCTGGTTCAGGTTTCTTGTAGGAGGCTGGATGCTCTACGTCATGCATGCCAGTGCATAGCCATGGCACTGACCAGGGCTCTCAAACTGTAGTCCTGATGATGACATGCAATGTTGATTTAGAGAGTCACAGAGCTTCCATTTGGAAGACCCTAGCAAGTTTTTGGTGCTGCTCTGGAAGAAACTGTGCTAGTGCCCCCATCTTCTCCCACAGAAACACTTGGTAGCATGCCATTGTTGCTTCATAGTTAGATACACGAAGTACAAGTCCCATTGCAGTGTATATTCTCCTAGCCATTGAATCTAATTGCTGTCCTTCACAATCCACAGGGACCAAATCTTTTCAGTAGGACTAACTTTGAGCTGATTCCACAATCACTGAACATGGACTTGAATGATGCAGAAGGAACAGGATGTACCCTTCCTAAAACTGGTGCAGAATCTCTAGGTAGCATGATGTTGGCCAGTGTTGTGCTGGAGCCTTCCATGAGTCCATCACAGCATTGAGAAGGTCTGGTACAAATGGAATGGCCACCAGCAGTCTCTCCCTCCAGACAATGTCATATATGAAATCATCAGTTGCATCTTCAACCTGAGAGACAATGTCATCCAGAGGAATCTTCCAAGGTCCTCGGAGGGGGATTTCAGACCTTGTGTTATCATACCCTCTGGTGATATGAACATCAGGTCTTCATATATTGATTGGTCTGAGTCCAATGTGTAGTTAGTCTGCAGAGACAGACAACAAGGAAGAGCACCAGATGAAGAGGATGATATAAGCAGCAATGGCACGTGACATGTCAGTGGTTGTTGGCTGGTAGGAGCTGGCATGAGGCACGATGGTTGCATGGGCACCAGAATTGATGGTATGGTGGCTCATGGGGCCTCTTGCAGGAAGGAGGGAGGATTCCAATATCAAAAAGGCATCTCCCTTGGTTTTGGTTCTCACAGTTGGTGTCCATACGGAGTTGTCAGTGGCATCCAACAGGGCTCTTTACCTCAAGCAGGCAGTGTTCCACCTGAGTGTCAGGTAGAGCCACAGAAAACCTCTGGTGAGATTGGTTCATAAGATGGTGCATGAATTGGTTCCTGGACCTGTCGAAGCTATTGTAGCCGAGTTGCTGGTGGTGAATCTCATAGTTCACCATCTGAAAATGAGTGCATAGCTGTCTGCTCTGCTTGGACCATTGATCCCAATGGTGGTGGTGCCAGTTGAGGTGAAGGAGCCAGTGAGGCAGTTCGTGCAAGCTCTACCACTCACACTGCAGAGCAGACATGCAATCTGTCCTGTGTGAGTGAATGGCATTGCATCTTTTGCTTTCATGATTCTGCTGCCTTTCCCGCCACCATTTTGGCACTGTTTTTGGATCCCATTTTGAAGCTATGTTCTAACCCTTTTTTGGTCGCTGCTGGCATGGCTTTTGCCTTCTCAGCTGGCGGGGTCCCAGCAGATGCCAATAGTGGGATCAAAATTGCCCATGAGGTGGAAGGGCCAGAGGTGATTGTGTTGGCAGCCTGTAGCGCCCTCATCCACATTTCTTGCTGAAAATGTCCTGCCCAGTTCTTTCTCACCTGCTTAGTAAAAGCTTGCCAACATGGGTAAGCATCTACCCTGTGGTCTTCTCCCATGCAGAAGAGACAGAACAAGTGCCCATCCATGGAAGACATTTTGGTGACACAGTGCACGTACTTCTGAAATGCTGCCACAAATGTCACTGGGGGAAATTAGAAAAGAGTAGTTGAGGGGGTGTGGAAGACTGACCATTAATGGTAAGTCAGAGAGTGTGGAGTAAATAGGTTTTTAAAATTATACAGGATAGGTTAAGGTTTATGCTGAAGATAAGAAGAAAAGCAAAGGTATTTTTGGTGAGATAAATTGAGGCAAAAAAGGGGTTGTAAATTGCAAGCTACAACTAGGGTTAGAATGAATCTGAGGCACTAAAGGTAGATGGAGAAAATGGTGGGAGCTCTGCTTTTATATACGACATATGGTATATCATATGGGGAAAGGGGCAGGGCTCGCACCAAAATGCCCAGCTAGGGAATCTCTCTCTCTCTCCAACAACAGGCCCCACACAGGCATAGAGCCTGTCGTGTGATGCACAGAGACCGTGAAGAAGAACTACAGTTATACCTTTAATCTACAATTTAATTGCAGTATGTATAGTTTTCAAATAATTAATACAGTGCAAGCCTATACGTTTTCCCTTGGAAGTCGGTCTCACTGCATTTACTGAGGCTTACTCCATAGTAAGTACATTTAGGGATGTTGCCTTAAATATATTTCCTGCAGACCCATGAGGATGTAGCTGCAAGATGACCTGTCATTTGAATCTGTTCTGATTGAATATTTAGCCTTTTGAGACAAAAATTGAGACTTAATATTTGTAAAAATGATGAGCAATTAATAGTAAGACTATCTATATAGACCAATAAGATGCATTTCCATTAGCATTGGTAGATTAACACTGGTATGTGTTTTTGTTCAGAAAACACTTTTCTCAGAAATAATTTCAACTTTTTTAGGTTAAAATGGACCATAAAACATTGGCATATACACAAAAAGAAAATTTTTGTACCAGTGGCATTAAAGTACAACTGAAACTGTTGGAAACAAAGCAAACAAACAGTTTTACTATATTCATAAGCTATTTTAAATAGAATTTCAGATACTGCAACAGCAACAAAATGGGCATAAATAAGCATCAAATAAGCTGTACAGTTTGGGTTGTTTAAAGAACCTAGGTGTGCCAAACAGACAACTAGACTGGCTATGGCTCATTCTGTTCCCTCATTCCCCCATAGTCCTCCCCCACACATTTCCAAGAAGCCTTTGTATTGCAATATGCATTATGTGATCCCTCACTACATCAACCTTTTTACTATTGGCCTACTGTGTTTTACCCTGGAAAGACCCATCTGAAAGTTTTCTAAACCTCCTCCTGCCCTGTGCTTACTGCCACCTCCCTGTGCTTCTAGTATAAACTGTCTACTTTTTCATGACCTTTGTTTGAATTAGCACACTACTATATACTCCTGACTGTGCTACTGGATCTGTTCATTTAGTCTCCCTCTTCCTCCAATCCTTTCCCTCCCTTGGTATGGTTAGTATGTATTCATTTATTTCTCAGTTTACAATAATATTGGTTACAGTGCATTGCACACATTGTTATTAGCTCATTGTTTTATCACTTTAGTCTTTTCATTAAATTAAATGTTATTGCAGCTGCAGTTAGAACCTGAACTGACAGCATTATTTTATTTGTATTAAAAATAAAGCACTGCTATTCTGTTGCATAAGTATTTTTTTCTTTTGCCTTCTTTTCAGAAAAACTTAGCCAGTATTTGCCATACTATAATGTACACATCAGGTTTAGACCTTTTTCATCCTTCAACACTGGGATATCAGCAAACCTTAACTATTAATACTGTTGACCATATGTGTACATGATTGCTACTCCCCCAGATCCTGGCCCGATCAGGGCTCCCTTCTTCATTTATTACATTCTTTACTTATTCTCTGCCCTCCCTTTCCCAACTCTACTATAGTGCTGAGGGCCATGCATTCAAAGTTTATATAAAGTCAGCCCTATCTTTTTCACTTCTCCAAATGATATGGGTTTCCAAGATTACTGTGTCTAAGCAATAGATTATAGGCTTCATTTCTAATGCTATGATTTCAACAGTTGACCAGGTTAGGCAGAAAGTGCCACAAAGTCTGGCATCACCCAAGAATTTCAAAGAGATCTTCACATGGTTTTCGGACACAAGAGTGTCCACTGACAGATTGGAAATCTGATTCCAGTGCATTCTACAGTGGTGGCAGTGACCTTGGTATCACAATC